ATTACATTATGTGTCCTGTGGGTTTTCAGTACTTTTTTAGATTTTGTAAAGCATGTTTTCTCAGCCTGAGGTGTGGTGTTGAACGAGGAAACAGATGTTTTACTTTGTTAAATCTTCTTAAATGTTTAAATGTTTTGTCCTAACCTGTTAATGGAGAGCTTTTGAGGGATGGCAGGTTGTATCAATTCCTTTTTAGATTTAAAAAAAAAGCAATTATCTGACATCTTCTATTTATCGATGAAAACAAATCAATATGAAATAATCGTGATGCATCGTGATGCATCGGGATATCGAATCGAATTGAATCGTTGACCCAATAATCGTAATCGAATCGAATCGGGAGATAAGTGAAGATTCACACCTCTACAGACTACCAAGTACTTTTAGTTAATATTTAAAAACTAAGCACAACTGAACAAGTATTAAGTAAAATAGAATACAGTATATATATAATTTCCTGCAAACACAAATTATTGAAGATGTAATCTCTTGTATTTTAAAGATGGATTTTACAGAAGAGCTGCATCATGTGAATATGGTCACGTTGGAGTTGTCTGGTACTCAGGTTCTCTGGGAAGAGTGGTTGTACTGCAGGTGTTACCTTGACTTGACTCTATAGAAATGATATTTTCTTCTTCTTCTTCTTCTACTTGTTGCTACAGTCTTCCTACGGTTTACGCTTGTCTTGTTCTTGCTGAGTCCCTAATTTTGCTTAATGGTTGATGAAACAAGCTTCTCCTCAACCAAATTTACTGCTTGTACTTGTAGCACGTGATGGCGAGTAACGGCGGACAGCCGCGAGTAGCGAACCGACTGACTGCAAACAGCCTGCTGCTTCTACAATTAAATCATTTTCTATTTCTTCGTCTTTCCCTGGTTCCAGACTGGTAACAAGAAGAGAGACAACTGAACTATAGTAACGGGACTTCACATGACTAGCTGTGATGAGGACTCTACTGGTCTGTGTCTCAGCTTTTTAAAGGGACATGGACATGAGCAACCTGCTCACATTGAATTATTTTTTTAATAACTGACATACCAACATGGGCAAAATGACGTCAAAAACTTTGGTAACTGTAAAATTTCAGTTTACCGCCCAACCCTGCTTGGAAGGATGCAGCCCCTAAATTAGGACATATAACCTATAATTATCCTGCTCCATCTTGGTTTTTGACAACGTGTCAAACAAATCACTTGAATGTGCTTCCAGTTCTGTGAACAACTCTCTAGTGAACACCATACGCAGGCAAGTTATTTACTTTAGGTATTACTTTTTTTTTTTTTTTACTCAATGCTGTCATTTAGTGCAGCCTGTCAGTGTTAAGTCCTCTTGACTGTGGAAACCTGATGCTCTTTGAGCTTGTTTCCTCTGCCACAGAAGACAGTAGTTCTTCTTTACTCATCTCAGCACTAGTCTGTTACTCCCAGGCCACACACACTAAGTGGTTGTATAAAAACTCTGCCTTCCTGGCTAGTAGCTACCGATGGTCAGGGAACGTCAACAGTGTGGTTGCTCTGATTGAGCAGTTGGCTGAGGTTAAATCCTCAGCAAATAAAGCAAAGTTCACCACATGCTTTCTCCTGGAGTAAACCATTGCGTTCAGACCCACAGAAAGCTTCATTGTTTTACCTATTTAAGTGACACAACTTTTAAATACTATGCACATACTGTGAGGGACTGTTTAAGTGTTTGTCATGCTTTGCACAGATAATTTTTAAAGTTTAAGTTTGCATGATAAAAGATGTGATGTCGTTTACCTTAAAAGATTTTGGTTATTTTTTTGTTTTTGTTGTGAGGAGCAACCCCGTCTGTATAGCTATCTGGTTTTACCGGTATCAGAAACTGAAGGTGTACTATGGTCTATAAGAGTAGACTATATCGGTATACAAAGGTTAGGGTTAGATTCAGACTAAAGCCTGCTTTATACGTCTTCATCTGCGTGGGTGAGGAGAGAGGCAATCCCATGATGCATCATTGTAGGGGCTCTTCAGCAAGCCTGCAGAGGGTGACGGAGAGATGCCCGATTTTTATAACTGTTCATCAAAAGTGACAGAGACCGCAAGCATGTGATTGGTCAGGATGCTGCTTCCTTTGAATTTGTCAACAGCACCGCCATTCTTCCTCAGAAAAATAAAACAAGTGCCAAAGATATCTACCGGCAGACACGGAACGGAGAATGTCTTGCAGAAAAGTCTGACGATGTGAACATTTATACACCCAAGACTAAAGAATTACAAAGATATGCAGCAAACTTGCTTTTCGCGGAAGGAAATTACAGGAACTGTGGGTTTGAAGAAGGTATCTGCAAGATGAGGTGGAGGAGAGTGAGGGACAAATGTGTCTGTGGTAAAAGTGTCTGAAATTCATGAACACAATATAAATACACTCGTTAGTCAGAGACGTGACTGCAGTGGTGGCAGGATACCCCCAGAAAAGCGCTGCTCCCTCTGTGGTCCATGGCAGGGATTTGCTTTGGAACTTTACCCAGACAACAGAAAAGTCTGAGAAAAGCATCTTCATCAAGCTCCACACCTGAGCTGATGAAGTAAAAATCAGACTTTAATCAGTATATCGGATATCGATGAAGAAAAAAGAAGACATTGGAAATCCTAAGTTGTTTCTGTGTGACTGCTCTGTGTTTAAATCATCTTAATAAAATCTGAGTCATCTAAAAGTAAAAGTTTTGAAGTGTTCGGTTTGTTTGTACAACCTGATTGGGAAAGAAACTTACTTACTTTAGCTCATTACTTTGTGACTTCTCTCTGATGATCAGCTTGGTGCCATCAAACTGCTGTGCTCACTGCTAACCATCTGGATACTGGGGTGTTTGAAAATATGGGAATCATCTCATGTGGTGTAAAGTTAATTGCTGACATCCATCCGACATCTGTCAGACATAACAGACTTCTCACCAACAACTGTTTGTTTTTAATGGCAAGTCCTAATAAAATTACCTACATCTGAACGTGAGAAAGGGCGAAGGTTTCTGCTGAAAGTACCGGAACTGTGTCGATGTTTGAAGATTCCCGATGTGCAGCAGCTTACCCTGGGAGCGCTCCAGCCTACAGGCAGCCATCTGGTAGAGGCGAGTCTGCAACAGCAGGAACATCTGGCTTTCTGCGGGGTTTCACTGACATGAAATGGGATTGATTTGAGTTTTACATTCATTGATATGGATTTAAACATGCGTTTTTTAAAGGTGTGCAGGAACTCTGCTTTGATCATTGGTTTGTTGGGCTTAATGGTGGTCTGTAATCTCTGTGAATGCTGAATCAAATCACTCCTTAGGAAAGGAGCAACTCGAGCAGTGCACAGTTGGGTATATTTTAAATATGATTGTGTGAGCTGGCTTTGTGTTTTTTTAGCTTCTACTCCTTCGATGTTGATAGATTTCGGGCTTTAGAGCGCTGCAGGCAGGGGCCCTGCAGTTTCATCAGCGTGCCTCTGCTCAGTTTATGCCTCATGTTGCTTTTAGGAATTAAAGGTAAAGTTTTCAGTTTAGTTTACAAACAATTTCTCCTGCAAGTGTTGGACCGTGCTGAGAGCAGTGTTCATTTCTTTGTGACATCTCTGCTAAAGACAGGAACAGTTTCTGGTTGTTTGTCTTTTTCAAGGCGAGATCACCTGCTGATTTATCATCGGAAGGCTTGAACTGTAATCTGTTTGGAAAAAATATATAGCAAACTAATCTAGTCTGTGACCAAACAGCAAAACCACCAGGGTAGATGGGCCTGAGGGACAAATACGTCTATTTTGGGCATATTTTAGTATCAATCAATCAATCAAATTTTATTTCTAAAGCGCTTTTCAAACAAAGTGTGATTCAAAGTGCTTTACAAAATGACCGCAGATTCCCATAACAGGTTAAAAACATTAACAAACATATGCAAGCACACGCACACACACACAGACTCACACACACACACAAGTAAAAATTATATTAGGCTGAGTCCAGAAGAGCCAAGTATGGTAACGCAAGGAAACGCCATCAGAGGAGCCATCTGTCCCGGCAGCATCAGGTCTTCCACACTAAGTCAGGGCGCTCAGTGGAGGGGGAGCATAGACCCCCACCTATAGAGCGCCCAGGAAGCTACAGTCGACCACCGCTCCCGGGGCAGAGGGCCCCCACAGAGGAAACACTGGATTAAAATGAGTAAAAATGTAATAAAAGAGCTAATAAAAATGACAAAAATTAGAAAATAAGTAACAAATAAAATGATATAGACATTAAAATAATTTAAATAATAAAACTATGCTAAAGTATAATCATATAGAACATGCAAAGCAAGTAATGAAATATAATCATGTAAAACGAGAAATAAAACTGTAGAAAATATTTAGATAGTAGTGTAAATGAAAAATAAATCGCCACGAGTCAACATTTTAACATAGTTTAAATTTAAAATTTACATGTTTTTATGTCTGACAAAGACATTAAATTTGATTTTGGCCCTCTTGACTAGCTTGGACACCCTGGTGTAAAGAGGGGGTGTTGTGTTTTGCAGTAGTGAGGCACTAAGTGCAATCATTGTATAAGTAAAGGAGAGGCTAGGGAAACAGCTCCAAGAGTACAACAGGAAATAGGAACTTATCTTACGTTGCCATTACGCATTCTTTATATTCATGGAATTATGGCCACAATTTGAACTGGATTCCAAAATTTAGCATGAGTTTGTCCCTCTAAATGACACCTTGCAAACATTTACATTCAGTATTCCAATCCTGCTTATTAGTACAACATAATCCCATTGTTAACCAAGCAGGACAAGTTTCTCTTGTATTCATTTATAACTTCAGTGAAGGAATTCCAGGCAGCTCCTTAGTCAGGGCAGGTGCTGCCTGAGGGTTGGATTGGATGGGATGGAGACTGGATTTTTCCTGAAAATACTCTTGCTTTCCAGGAGGTGACTCTCATGCTGCTCCTTGTGCTTCAAGTGTTAATGCTATTTATGGATTACATTGTCATCTATTTTCTTTAATGTCTTCTTCTGTCATGTAGGTACGAATACAGAGAGATGCTGTACAACTCCACGTTCTGTCTGGTCCCTCGAGGTCGAAGGCTGGGCTCCTTCCGTTTCCTGGAGGCTTTGCAGGTCAGTCCAGAGCAGTGTGCTGATACGGCCAAGGAGGGCACCGCACTATTAGGCACATCGTCTGTTTGCACCAATGTATATGGTTTATACTCAACGCATACTCTCACAGTTCGCAAAGAGTGTTTAAAAATCAGCTAAAAAAATGTACAAGTCTGGTTCTAGAAATCTTGCTCTGCATCGACCCAGACGTTTTGGTTCCTAGGACAGTAAAGCTAAAGTGAAGGCCTCGGTGAGTCTCTTTAGCTGTTTCATTTGCTGCCTCCGACTCGGTCACTCTCTTCCATCATGTTGTTTTCCTCGTCCATCTACTCAAAAATTCTGTCCTCTCCTCTTTCTTTGTTTTAATGCTTCATGTCTGAAAATGCTTATTCTGCAGAACAAGCTATAGTCCAGAGGAAAACAAGAAACTTCAGCCGTTTTGTTTTGCTCACACAAATTCCTTTTCATTTTTCATTCTCTTTCAGTCTTGATTTTATCCAAATCACTGAAACTCTGATTTCTTTCACTTCAAACGTTCTCGTTTTTACCTTCAGTCATCCCGTTTCTGCAGATGTTTATGGTGCAAAAAAGCAGCACACTCAGTTCAAATAACAGTTCCTGTAAAGTTTTCATACAGTTAAAGTACAATAAATGTTAGGGATGCTCTTAGGTCGGCTCTGTTACTGATATTTAATATTCCATTATAGTCTAATGCCTAATTTTTGATGTTAACGGCCTGTTATTGATATATAAACCAGTACCAATATATGCAGGGCCTCCCTCATAAAGAAAAAATTAACAAGTTTAGGTACCTAACATCACATATATTCTATCATGTATGCTGAAAAATTTAGCATATTTGCTAAATATGACAGCTGCTTCAATTTAAGTTAGGTCAGTTGTGCCAAAGCAACATAAACCTTGGATCTGTCAAATGTTGACGTTTTCAGTGAGAGGAGAAGCAGCTGAAGAGTTTGAGCTGTAATATTTGCATGGGATGTAAAAGTTTTGCAGCTGAAAGAGTAAAAATCAATGCCGATTATTTCCGACATAATAACGATAATAACGGTAGGCTAATTAAGTCGAACACCCCTATAAAATATAAAAATCTATTTAATCCAATAAATGTAGTTTCTTGTAATAAGTCCACAACCAGTGAATGACTCTTTTCATGACTAGTTTCATGTTTGTTGGATTGAGATCTGATTATGAGGATTTAGGATGTTTGTTGAAATACTGACTGCTATATAATCCTTTACAGCTCAGAAAACTTCAGTTTTACAAAGATTATGTACTGCTCTTAAATTATTTATTCATTCTTTATTCTTCATTAATAATTTACTCTCTTTGATTCTGCTAGGAAACACAGGCCTTCTTTTGAAAGAAATGGGGCAATCTGTTTTCAATAAACATGTTTTTAGCTGAGCTCAAGGGGGTCAAAACAGCTGGGATCTGCTGTTAAATGGTCTGTTCTACTGGTGCACGTTCGTTGGAGATGGGCTATCTGAAATGAAATGGCTTGTGTGTTAGCTGTGACATCAATGTTACAGGATGCGCAGGGACTGATTTAAACTGTGTGTAAATAAGGACCATTTGCATCACCCAGAAATGGGAAGGCCATTTTTTGGCCTTTGCATTATTGATGCAAGTGTTGTGTGACAAGCTAGAAGCCTGAATTACTAAAATATTCTCTTTCCCACGTGAGGCCAAAGTGTTATTAGTGTGTGTGTGTGTGTGTGTGTGTGTGTGTGTGTGTGTGTGTGTGTGTGTGTGTGTGTGTGTGTGTGTGTGTGTGTGTGTGTGTGTGTGCGTGCGCGCACGTGCGTGAGATCTTCTGTATAAAGACAAGATTGGTCTATAGGATTCTTGATTGGAAGCAGAGGAGCAGGTAAAGTGTGGCAGCCTTTGAGCAGATTGTTACCTTTGCTAATGACAACATGGAGATTAGACGAGCTCAGTGGCGCTCTGATGTACGTGTATGTATGCTGGTGATCAATCAGCAAATGGCATCCTGCTTAGCTGATTACAGAACTTGTCACTGCTGGCTAGATACTGCCTTTCCAACACATACACACACACACACACACACACACACACACACACACACACACACACACACACACACACACACACACACGCACACGCACAAGTACATTAAACATACAAAACACAAGCACAAAAGTCAGTGCAGGAAAATCATGCTTTAGGGAAGAAAACTGTTTTAAAGTTGAGCCTCACTGAGAAACCATATTTTACTTATGCTTGAAAATGACTGGTTACTCTGATTGTTTCATGCAGGCTGAACATGAAAATAGTCTCCTACATAGGGCTGTCGCGGTTGAGGAATTCCTCCTGCGGTGATTCAGGGTGGCTTAATATTGCGGTGTGCGATATTTTTGCAGCCCTTTTTTTATTGCAGTACTATCTAAACATAATGTTTACACATTTAAAAAAGGTTAAAAATTGGCGTGCCTTCTTTTATAACGCTTTACTGAATGCAGATCAAAGGGCAGTAACAACGCAGATTGCAGTAACGTTTGTTTCTGCGACAGTCGGAGTCCGACTGAACTTAAAAACAACAAAATTCAGGAGAAGGTTAAACTTTTAAATGCAAATTTGGCTGCAGCATCTAACAAATAAGAAACAAGTCCCCATTTTGTTTAGTTGTTTAAAATCAAGCATAAAAAATTACATGTACCGGGCGCGCGTACTATCATTTCACTTTCACACACACGAATGACGGTGCTTTATAGCTCGGTCACGTCCTTGTTACCTACAAGGAAAACCAGCATGTTAACTACGGTTTGAGAGAGGATCTGAGAGGGGTGGCAACATTTCCAGCAACACTGAAAACCCTCTCGGATGGTGCGCTCGTTGCACTAACGCTCACGTACTTGCGTGCGACTCTGGCGAGCAAAGGGAATCTCTCCCGGTTGTTGCTCCACCATGTCAGTGGGTTTTCTTCAGGGTGGATGCGTTCCTCCTGCAGGTAGCGAGTGAGCTCCAGCTCGGCTCAAACTCTCTTCAGGACGGTTGCAGAAGCAGTGCTTGTCCGGGACTTCAGCAGGTCTCCGAGCGTTTATTATTATTTTTTTGCCGCTGGTGGCAGCTCTGTCTCGGCCAAGGACTCTGGCTGCGCAGCAGCTGACGTACTGAAAACCAAAGCGCTCCCAAAGGAGCGAAGTAACGTTTCGTTTTGATACCAGTGCAGCCATCCTTCTCAACATGCATCATTGAGTTGAACCAAGTTCAGTAATCGCGGTGGCCCATGATGCAGCGCGGTGGGCTTCTTCATATTGCGATATTTCATTTTTGCGGTTACCGCGACAGCCCTACTCCTACACCTATCTCCTGCTTTAGCTTGTGATAGAAAACAGACGGTGAAACTCTAGGATTAAAAAAGCCTAACAGATCTACTTCACACCGTCACTAACATTCATGGACTCACCCATCTTGACCCTTTACAGGAAACAGCGGAGAACGTCTTGGCTAGTAGAAGCTTACTGTTAGCGTTAGCAACTCCACCACACAGCAGAACTCCTCCAGGCTTGTGGTATTTGTAGAGATAAAACATCAAAATTGCAGACCAGACAGAGCCAGTGATAGAGTTGTGTTGCTGTTAGCCAATCAGAGGAGAGATGGCCAAATATCAGGAAGTAAGACTCCAAATCCTGTCGTCTGAAGCTACTTTCTCCTCTGGCTGAATTGGCCTTGCTGAAACGGATGCACTGGAGCTATTTTTCCCCAGAGTGTGACTCACAGGCATTCATTCTTACTAGGGACCTCTGCAAATGCATTTGTATGAGCAAAGTTTAAGGCCCTTGACTGTTGATGCAAAGTTGATGTGAAATGAGTTGATTTAAGGGTCTGGTTTGATTTGACCGTCAGTCAAATGTTGTTCATTTTATTGGCCGTAGAGCTAAAAATACTCACACAAAACAATGGATGAAACAAACTGAAGACTAACATCATATGAAATATAAAGGATGCGCGACTGCTGCAATGCTTGAAGACATTTATCACATGTACTTTTTAGTCTCGATGAAAGGTTTAAACCAGTGTGTTTGTATAATATTCCTCCTGCAGGCAGCTTGTGTGCCGGTGATGCTGAGTAATGGCTGGGAGCTTCCCTTCTCAGAAATTATCGACTGGAAAACGGCAGCTGTGATTGGGGATGAGAGACTGCTGCTGCAGGTAGACGTGTTGAACTTATCAGATGTCGATTTGCATACAAACACTGTTTTTATTACACAGACACAAATGGTTTCAAATAAAGCAGCAATTTTCAGAGGCTTTTGATGAAATGGCCATTTTGATTTTAACTTTGGTGTTTAGAGGCTCGTATTTATGAGTCCTCCTTGTGTACTTAAATACTACGGTCTTTTCAAGTTACTTCAAAGCAGGGTCAGACTGAATGTCACTCACCAGTTTTCATTGTAGACGGTTTATTTTATGTTCTAAAAGGGTGTGTATTGGCAGGGATCTGGTGATACGATTTATGTCACACTACAGGGGAGACCATATGATATATTGTGGCATGAAAAGCCAGAAATTAGCAATTTTAAAATGAAATTTAATTGTAAAACTCAGGCCAGATGCTTCTAAGGGTCAATCCCAATACTCACACTGCGCCCTGTGGTCCTCGGTGAAGTGCACTTGGAGGAAGTGCGCAGTCAGGCTTTGAGTGTGTAATACACAAGTGTGTAAACAAAAGTCGAATTGGGACAGGGACTGTTGCGTCATCGACCATGACGCATGCTGGGATGCTGCTTGCCGTTTGTGCTACTTTAAAAAAAATCTATATTAACTCATTAACTGCCATTGACAACAAAATCGCCATTTGCATTTTTTACTGTGTGGGCGTCGGAACAAGCCCTTTCACCATGAGAACAAACATCCCAGCTCTAAAGCTGATCTCCATCCGTGTACGTCATGTTCATGTGACTAGAAAGCAGAAAATCCATGTGTTAGGAGATCGTTTTGGGCCGCAGCTGTAAAAAAAAGTGAGGCGCAAACCGGAAAAGCTTCTGCCGATCACAATTTGACTACGGATTATGAAGAAAGGATAACGCTCGAAACGTGCAGATTCTTCCTGATGTAAGAGGTGAGTCTCCGCTTTGTTTTGGTTGTTTTGGCGTCGACATCATCATCGTGCGCAACGTTATGTGACTCTTAAAAAAACAGTGAAAACGCTGAAAAATGCTGGCAGTGAATGAGTTACCAACTTTCAAACAAAACATTGACAAAATTTTCATTCATTGCTGTCCACATTAAATCTTAGTTTAAAACATTTAGAGCATCAATAAATGTCATTAATCGTCCTAAAATTACCTTCTTTCGCTTGGAAATAGATATTTTTAGAAAAGACAATTGAGCCGTTGGTCCGCCTTCTTCTAAACATTCCTACGCAGCAATGGATTGTGGGTAATACCTTCGCCCAAGTCCGTACTGATGTGGACTTGGGGAAAGTGCATATTAAGGGTGAAAAGGGGGCATGGTCAACTTCCACACTTGAGAATCGGGACACCCCACACACTCGCACCCCTGAACACAGTGTGCAAGAGGGGAGGTGTGAGTATCGGGATTGGGCCTTTGACTCATTCAGGATTATTGCAAGATCAGTCTGTCAGAATGAAGGCGCTACAACTGCTGCCTTCTAGCAGTCGGAGTTTGAATTGCACCTCACAAAAGAAGAACATTCAATGTGAATTTTCTGCAAAAAATCGATACACTGCTTCAATGTATCATTTCAGTATCCTAACACGAATTATCGCGATATATCAGTGTAAGGATATTTTCTTACATCCCTGTGTTCTGATGTTTAATTGGAGTGAAACACGTTCCTGGCATGTCTCTCTGCTGTCTCAGATTCCATCAACGGTGCGCTCCATCCACCAGGACAAGATTCTGTCCCTCAGACAACAGACGCAGTTTTTATGGGAGGCTTATTTCAATTCTGTGGAGAAGATAGTGCTAACAACCCTGGAGGTATGTATACACACACACACACTAACACACACACACACACATTATATTTAAGCTTCAGGATTCTACAGGAATTACTTTAAAAAGACTTGTTGTAGATTGCACTTAACTTAGTCTCTTCTCTTGAATATAAATACATCTAGATCAAAACAAAACAAGTAAACCTTCCAAGTACAGTTAAGTGTTAATGACTTCAGTAAAGTCACTTGTTTCTCTTCGCCTTCAGACTGTGTTCATATAAAGTGACATTAAAATGCTTCAGATTAGATTAAATAAGGATGACATCCGTTGTGGAGCTGCGTTGTTTTTAGGCTGCATCTTGCAGGTTTGGCTATCAATCATGTCAATAGTTTGTTGCTGTCAAGGTCCGTTTATCAGGTTTCTGTGCAGCAAATGCCAGACTATCATGCTGCTCTGTGGTTAGAATTACAAACAGCCACAGATGAGAGCAGAGAGGAATGAAAATTGATAAGGGTGCAGGGCAGAGCAGCAGATAGAATGTATGAGATTCCTGAGAGTAAAAGAGGCTTTTAACATCGTTCTGAGTCGGGCTGTAAACATAGTTAAGCACTCGTGCTTCTCTAAACTCCTCTATCACAGGTTTATCTCTACATGTCAAAGTGCTAGACCTTGAAACCTGAATTAGTAGCTAAATTACTAGAGTGGCAGCAGGAGTAGATCAGTTTTCAAACTTGTCTCAATTTTATGTTACATGTGAGCCTATAAGCCAGCAGTCGTTTGAACTACTAGTTTCCATCTTAGAATAATTTCACAGACATTTGATCTTAAAGGTCAGAAGCAGGTAAGTGTGGAGCTGAGGTGTTCTCCTTTAGCGAGGCTAGCATCATCATGTTTTCCTGTGAATGTTATTTATTTTTACAATTTAAAAAGACGTAGACAAGGTCTGATTTGTTCTGTAACCAGTCATTTTATTAAAACATCCTTCTGGTTGTTCTGAGGGGTTAAGGTGGAGTTTATTGATGCTCGTAGCCTTTAAAGTCACAGATTCAAAATCTCATCTTATAGTTAGAAATCTCAACGTAACTGGAGTAAAAGCTGAGTAAACAGCTTTTGTACTTCTGTAAAATATCTATTTAATGTATAATTATGTGGAAAACTAAAGCTGGAATTATATATCTTAATTCCCTTTGTTGTGTCTTTCTGTGAATAAAAACCTAATTCAGATGTTTGTTAAACGTGTATTAAAGTATTTTGGGTAGATTATGAGCTGCTTTTTAACAGATGGACCAAATATTGAACTTGTGAAGCTCAACCAAAAATAACCTGTCTTTGTAGAAAACAATAAAAGGAGAGAGAACTGATTAAACGGGAGGATTTGTGGTTTACAATAAAACACGACATCCCAAAATAACCTCAGTCTCTAGACTCCTGGTTTATTTTCTCTAACTTCCGTCGTTGATTTGAGAATCTGTTTCTAAACCATGTTCATATGTTTTGGTGAATTTCCTCCGCTCTCCTGTAAATCTAGATCATCCAGGATCGGGTGTTGGAGCACTGGTCAAGGAGCAGCCTGATGTGGAACAGTCTTCCTGGTGGACTCTTTGCTCTGCCTCAGTACTCTACCTCCCTCAGAGACTTCCCCTTCTACTACGCTAAACTGGGTCAGGAACATAACACTTCACATGGTGTATGAGCCAGGTTTGGTTAGGCACATTTATGTTTATGAAACTTGATGGACGCGTCATGGTTTCTGGTTGTCCAGAACATCAAACACCTCAGGAGCACCAAGGAATTACTGCTAACCCTAAAACTGCCCAAATAGATGTCTGCCAAGGCTGCCCGTTGTCACAGATCTTGTTAGCCATAACTTTTATGGACATGATTTCTAGAGGCAGCCAAGGTGTTTAGGGGATCTGTTTTGGTGGCCTGAAGATCAGGTCTCTCAGATTATGTGGTCCTGTTGGCTTCATCAGAACATGATCTCCAGCTTTCGCTGGAGAGGTTCACAGCTGAGTGTGAAGCTGCTGGGATGAGAATCAGCTTCTCCAAACCTGGGACCATGGTCTTGAGTCGGACAAGGGTAGAATGCCTTCTTCTGGGTCAGGGGTGAGTTCCTGGCTCAAGTTCTCAGGGTGAGGGAAAGATGTAGCGTGAGATTGACGGGCGGATTGGTGCTGCGTCTGCAGTGATGCAGGCGTTGTAACGAATAAAGAGTGAGCCACTCAGTTTTAACGCAACAGTCATTCCACACGTAGAACTGCTTTATATTTCTCCCGTCTTCTGTTGGTTTTAGTTGGAGGCGTGCTGAAATTGGTAGGTAAAGCACACACAGGTATGTGGCTAGGTCACAAGACGTGCTCCACAGAAAACTGTTTTTAACTGTTGAGCAAGTTTTGGTTCCAGACCCGTTCCACACACACTTGTTTCATCTCTGTTGATTGTTCTGTGAGGAACCTTGGTGTAAAACATGTAAAGTCCTTCTAAAACTTACTGATTTCTGTTTCTTCAAGCCTAAAACTCACAGAAGAATGACTTTAGTTTTCTCCCACAGGTATCAAACCAAACCCCAAGTTTACAGCAATCATCCATGTGGTCACCCCACTGGTCTCCCTATCCCAACCCGTGATGAAGCTGCTTGTGGCTGTGGCCAAATCTCAGTACTGTGCTCAGGTGACTAGTTTCACTCCATCCTGATGTCGAGTTGTGTTGTCTCCGTTTCCTGTTGTGGTGTTTATAGTGTGCTGCTTTGAAGTCGTTTGGGAGACAGTTCCTAAAATAGACAAATGGAGCAGGTTGTCTTCATCACATCCTCGTCTTCATGCAGGTTTATGAATATGGAGATGAACTTTATTACTCTTCATTTGTGAACATCTGTTTTGACATGTTTGCATAAATGCATAGACACAAAAGTGAGTTTAAAGATGTTTGATTGAAAGGTGCGGCTGAACGCTTGTCTGACTCTGATCCTTTGTGCAGGTGATAATTCTGTGGAACTGTGACAAAGCTCTTCCTGCCAAGCACCGCTGGCCCGCCACTGCGGTGCCCCTAGTTGTCATAGAGGGAGAGAACAAGGTAGGGATCGTACGAGATGTAAAGCTGTTATAACGACAGATCGCCGCTACGAGGTGGAAGCCGACGGTCATGTAGGAGGTTTCCAGTGTAACAGCTGTTATTATTCCATTGTTGTTCTTTTCTATCATCTAATATCGTATAATACAAGATAAAAAATACAGGAAGCACTTTAAGCTAAGCTAAGCTGCCGCCATGTTGCTGACAGTTTTCAACGCAGCGGGGAGTAAATTACATTAAATCAGCGATTTTCAGAAAGAGATTGAATCATAGCTGTAGACACAGTACACTCATGAAACCACCAGGAAATGCTAAATAATGTCCAGTTTGTTGTTTGAATACTCCTGTCACTGACAGAACAGAGCCATCTTAAACAAAACCATGCTTCTATGTCCAAGGGCCCACTCAACGTCCTGCTGTTAAAAACTTAGTCCACAACAAGTCAAAATGTCCACAGTCCAACAAAATATAAAACCTTCAAATGTCCTTCTGATGTGTCTGTTAGCCTAGCTTCTGTTAGCGTCCTCATATTAGCCTCAACCTTTTATAGCGCCGATCCTGATGTGTGAGCTTTGGTCAACATCGTACCTGATATAACAGGTGAAGGGTCACACCCCACCCCATAAAACAAAGCTTTATTGGCCAATGGGTTTAAAGCGCCGCCCCCTGTTCTTAATTGTGTAGCTTGAATCAATTCCGTTGCGGTAAATTGTTGAGAGGTGCATCAAACAGCAAATGCCTCACAGTTTTTGATCACGTGACTCGACCCCTTGTGGTCTGCTTCTGCAGGCTGGTTAAGAAGTTTTGGGACTGGGGGATCGCTGCGTGTCAGGAACCCTTTAACCTAGTTCATAGTTCACACTCACACACACATACACGTACATGTACTGATGGAGATGTTGTCCTTTTGTTCTTCGGCGTTGGTGTGTCAATGTGGTGAATCAGTTCTCTGCCAGGACAGCAGAGGGCGTAACGTGTTCTGGGGTACCCTGCCATCATTGCGGTCGCCTCTAGTGCGTTTATGTTTTAGAATTCGTTCTCCTCCACCTCTTCATGCAGTCACCACCTCCAAACCCACGTTTACCGTCATTTCTTTCCACGAATAAAATGCTTGCTGCGTACTCTTCAGCGTCTTGACCAATCACAGGCTTGCGGACTCCGTCGCTTTTGACGGATAGTTAGAAAATTGGGCTCTACTCCGTCGGTGTACCTGTGGGAACACGGATACTGTCTCAGGACCTGCAGAAGGAGAAATGTTAACTAGGCTTTAACATTAGATGAGAACGTTTAGTTATTTCACTTCTGACATCACAGCACAATGTGTCATGTGACTGACGCGCACAGACATGTTGCTGTTGATGCTCAGATATCACATCGTGCTGCTCTACTTCCATGTTATATTTGTGTGTGTGTGTGTGTGTGTGTGTGTGTGTGTGTGTGTGTGTGTGTGTGTGTGTGTGTGTGTGTGTGTGTGTGTGTGTGTTTGTGTGTGTGTGTGTGTGTGTGTGTGTGTAGGTGATCAGCAGTCGCTTTCTTCCCTACGACACCATCCCCACCGAGGCTGTTTTCAGCCTGGATGAAGACACGGTTCTCTCCACCACTGAGGTCCGTCTCCCACTAAACCACGTTAACGGTCTTTTGCTTGATTGGTTTCTCTGGATGTGACAAAGCTGCGTGCCTGTTCTCTCCGTCCCTCCCTCTGATCCAGGTGGACTTTGCCCTCATGGTGTGGCAGAGTTTCCCTGACCGCCTCGTTGGTTACCCGGCCCGCAGCCATTTCTGGGACAGCAACAAGGAGCGGTGGGGCTACACATCCAAATGGACCAACGACTACTCCATGGTGCTGACGGGGGCTGCCGTCTATCACAAGTACCGACCCTGTTCTCTGGCTCTAACACCAACCGTGCCGCCGTCTCTCTTCTCACTCCGTCGCTCTTCTCCCACAGGTACTACCACTACCTGTACACCACCTACCTTCCAGCCAGTCTGAGGACCATGGTGGACCAGATGTCAAACTGCGAGGACATCCTGATGAATTTTCTTGTCTCCTCAGTAACTAAACTACCCCCCATCAAGGTCACCCAAAAGAAACAATACAAGGAAACCATGATGGGCCAGGTGAGTGTGATCCCTTCACACGCAGGTGTAGCTCAGAGCTGGTGTTGAGGCTGAACAAGCACAAATGGTGTTTACTGGTTAGTTGTTCATCTACTCTGTATCATCACAGACTGCAGCGTCTCACTTGTTTTCATCCCCTCCACCCCCACAGAACTCCAGAGCTTCCCGCTGGGCCGACCCGGACCATTTTGCCCAGCGTCAGACCTGCATGAACAAGTTTGCCAACTGGTTTGGCACCATGCCTCTCGTCCATTCTCAGATGAGGCTGGACCCAGTCCTGTTCAAAGACCAGGTGTCTATATTGAGAAAGAAATACAGGGAAATCGAGAGACTATAACCCTCCTGAGGCCCCCCCACCCCACCCCACCCCCGCTCTGTGAACACAGAAGGTGAAGAGCGAGGGGGCGGACATGTAGATGCGTGCAGCGTGGAGCTGAACTGGAACAGGTCCAGGGAACGTGGAGGTAAAATCATGTGGAGAGCTCGTCCTCTACTTTCTGCTCTCATGGGGTCGGGGGGTCGCTCAGACGCCTCATGAGTAACCCTAACTCTAACTACACCTGAGTTCAGGTGGAAAGGACGGCTCGCTGCATCAGCGACCCAACAGAGACAAACATGACTGTTCAGCTTTGGACACGATGCATACTCGTGAGAGTTTTTACTGAAATAACAATCTGAAGAGGATAACACTATTTTTGATTGTGTTAAGCTATTTTTATACAGTGACTGAATGGCCAGCGCTACTTTATTTCCGTCATAAAGAAAACCTGTGTGTATGTGTGTGTGTGTGTGTGTGTGTGTGTGGGGGGGGGGGGGGGGGGGTAATAGTTGATCTGACAGTGCCTCACCAATAATCCAACCATGTTAGGATCCGATCGTCTGACATAAAGACTTGGTTCTGATTTGACACCTTCATCCTGCTGCTTTGTCAGTTTTCCAGACTTTAACAAGGATAAGTCATCGTGTGCCATTCTAAAGGGTTTATTCTGGTGAAATGATGTGCCCACGTTCACATCACACAGCTAGATGTCTTAACCATTCGTGGAGATGTTTTTGTTTTTCATTATTTTTCACTCTGAAGGATTTATTTGACGAGCCAGATCAGGTGTTAGAACAGCATCCCGTGTGGTGCCTTGCAAAAGAAGACGCTCTCTAAAGCAGGAACCACTGCAAAATCCATGGAAGGATTGGCTTTTCCCTCTTTTATCTTTAGGTTAATGAGATTTCTTTATTTCCTCTCACCGCCGGTGTACCTTTAACCCAGCTGCATTATGCTGGGGCAGATTTGGCAGCAGCAGATCAGAACCTTGCATGGATCCAGCACCGCTGTGAGACTGTTTTATTATAACGACTTTTAGAGCGTAAAGGAGCTACAGGAACTCCAGGTTCTGTAAAGATCCCTTGGATTTGTTGGGATGTGTTGATTCTCATCTTTAAATCTGATGATTTGATTAGTTTTTGTTGTTTCCTGATAGATGAAGGCATTGAATTAGTTTTTCTTTTCTGATGAATCTGAGGAACACGCCTCCTTTTCAGATCTGTACACGAGCACAAAGCAGTCCGAACATAAAGCTGGGATGTTAACCAGGTGATCTTGTAATGTTTTAGTTCTGAAGACCAACCAGCAGATTGTTTTTGTGTCCCATCAGATCATCCACCGCACGGCTGTTCCGACACAAGGTTCAGCAGCCTCGGCGTGAAGAGCCGATGGTTTTAGCTAACCTCATTCACAGAACCTTGCGTGTGCCAAGAGAACTTCTGCGGTTTGGTTTTATTTTTAGAAACGCCACACATCCCTCTCTTAATTGGCCGTGATGAAACAACGTGAGACTAGAAAAACGGAGGCTTGTGAGGGATGGAGTGCTCCCCAGGTAGGAGTAGGGCTGGGTGGCGTTCTTCATTTCTGGGAATGTGCTTTTGGCTTAAAAGCAAATAAATAATCTGAGCTCAGCAAACATGCTGCTGCCAGAACGACTAAAACATTTTAAAAATGAACTCTGCAGCTCAGAGGATGGCATTTGCTGCTTTTCCTTGTTTGAGTTGATGTTTCAGAGGCCAGGTGGTTCCATTCATGTGCCTTCAGAGGAAATACACGTAGGACTTTATTTTTATCTGCCTTGTGCAAAAACAACAACAAGCTAAATGTTAACTTCTGATAGAATGACACTACTGGATGCTTCTGGCTCACATCCTGTTTGATCCCAATGTGCCTGGATTTTCCCTGCTCAAGGACACTGTTGGCTCCATCGGCCAAAGCCTCTCTCCCCTCACACATCCCAACACAACATTCATCACAGACTGACGCCTGCACAACTACATTTATAGACTTTAATCATGGAAAGATACTGAAAGGAAAAATTGATTTTATGAAACAAATGGAAACAGATTAATCAAATAAAATGTTTTGATATAAACCAACTATTTGTGTCTGATTTTGATTGTTTTTATAATAAATATAATAAACAGTGCTGTAAATATGTTTGTATTGTTTCTTTTTGTCATCTTTAACTGTTGCAAACCAGCAAAAGACATTTTATATCATTAATATACAGGTGCTGGCCAGTAAATTAGAATATCATCAAAAGGTTGAAAATATTTCAGTAATTCCATTCAAAACGTGAAACTTGTACATTATATTCATGCAATGCACACAGACCAATGTATTTCCAATGTTCATTACATTTAAATTTGATATTCATAAGTGACAACTAATGAAAACTCCAAATTTGGTATCTCAAAAAATTAGAATATTCTGAAAAGGCTGAATATAGAAGACACCTGCTGCCACTCTAATCAGCTGATTTACTCAAAACACCTGCAAAGGCCTTTAAAAGGTCCCTCAGTCTTGTTTTGAAGGCACCACAATCATGGGGAAGACTTCTGACTTAACAGCTGTCCAAAAGACAATCATTGACACCTTGCACAAGGAGGGCAAGACACAAAAGGTGATTGCTAAAGAAGCTGGCTGTTCGCAGAGCTCTGTGTCCAAGCACATTAACAGACAGGCGAAGGGACGGAAAAAATGTGGTAGAAAAAAGTGTACAAGCTCTAGGGATAACCGCACCCTGCAGAGAATTGTGACGACAAACCCATTCAAAAATGTGGGGGAGATCCACAAAGAGTGGACTGCAGCTGGAGTCAGCGCTTCAAGAACCACCACGAGGAGACTCATGAAAGACATGGGATTCAGGTGTCGCATTCCGTGTGTCAAGCCACTCTTGAACAAGAAACAGCGCAAGAAGCGTCTCGCCTGGGCCAAGGACAAAAAGGACTGGACTGATGCTGAGTGGTCCAAAGTTATGTTTTCTGATGAAAGCAAGTTCTGCATTTCCTTTGGAAATCAAGGACCCAGAGTCTGGAGGAAGAGCGGAGAAGCACAGAATCCACGTTGCATGAGGTCCAGTGTAAAGTTTCCACCGTCAGTGATGGTGTGGGGTGCCATGTCATCTGCCGGTGTTGGCCCACTCTGTTTCCTGAGGTCCAGGGTCAATGCAGCCGTCTACCAGGAAGTTTTAGAGCACTTCATGCTTCCTGCTGCTGACCAACTTTATGGGGATGCAGACTTCACCTTTCAACAGGACTTGGCACCTGCACACAGTGCCAAAACCACCAGCACCTGGTTCAAGGACCATGGTATCCCTGTCCTTGATTGGCCAGCAAACTCGCCTGACCTTAACCCCATAGAAAATCTATGGGGTATTGTGAAGCGGAGGATGCAATACGCTAGACCCAACAATGCAGAGGAGCTGAAGACGACTATCAGAGCAACCTGGGCTCTCATAACACCTGAGCAGTGCCACAGACTGATCGAGTCCATGCCACGCCGCATTACTGCAGTTATTGAGGCAAAAGGAGCCCCGACTAAGTATTGAGTGCTATACATGCACATTCTTTTCATGTTCATTCTTTTCAGTTGGCCAACATTAGAGAAACAAACATTTTTTCATTGGCCTTTAGAATATTCTAATTGTCTGAGATACCAGATTTGATGTTTTCATTGGTTGTCACCTATAAATATCAAAATTAAACGTAATAAACATCGGAAATACATTGGTCTGTGTGCATTGCATGAATATAATGTACAAGTTTCACGTTTTGAATGGAATTACTGAAATATTTTCAACCTTTTGATGATATTCTAATTTACTGGCCAGCACCTGTAATGTAGTATCTGGGAAGCAGCTACCCAAACTAAACCTATGTGATAAAATAGTTGCCTCCCTTATTAAATCATTACCCAGCTGTCATTAACTGCATGAGTTTAGTTTCAGCAGCCACACCCAGGTCTAGCTCGATTAGGTAATGGTTTCGGCAAAAGCTGACAATAAGGCTAAAGGATTTCGCATTGAGCCTGTCATAAAGAAAGACCCCGAGCCTTTGGCCTCACCTGGTTCAGGTCCGGGTTCATGATTCAATTCAATTCAAAGATGCTTCATTAATCCCAGAGGGAAATAAGAGAAATTCACAGAAAGAAAGGTGTGCACAAATTCCCTCCATGGGAGAGCACCATGACCGAAACGTCTGCTGACCAAAAACACAAAGGCTGGGCGCTCACTTGCCAAATGGTTAAAAGCTAAAACGTTATTGATTTACAATTTGTTTATGTGTATTTCCACAAACCTCAATACAAATGAATGCGTAATAAAAAGTGAATTTTGAAGTTTATCTGGTATACAACTAAACTGCATTTCAGAAAAAGACAGCATCGGTCAGGTGGTGGTGTGATGGTCTGGGGCTGCTTCATGACCACATGCTGTAACAATTCAACTCTGAAGAAGAATGTTTGACCTTTGACCTTAAACTCAATAATACCTAGCTGCAGACCCTCTCCAAACATGCCCCCGGCCAAACGCCCTTTGACCTTACTCCTGCTGGAAACATTTCCAATATGGCTGACTTCAAGCAAGAGGGAGTCTTATCAGGAGAAAACAATACAGTCCAATTAAGGTTGGCAGTTATATTTATATATGTCTACATATATATAACTAACCCTCTCCCTGGGCAGCCACCTTACCGTGGTGGAGGGGTTTGAGTGTCTCAATGATCCTAGGAGCCAAGTTGTCTGAGGCTTTCTGCCTCTGGTAGGGTCATGGGAAACAGGTCCTAGGTGAGGGATCAGACAATGAGCAGCCCGAAGGCCTCTTATGATGAATTATATAAATGGAAACCGTGTTCCCTCGCCCAGACATGGGTCACCCGGGCCCCATCTGGAGCCAGGCCTGGAGGTGGGGCACGTTAGCGAGTGCCTGGTGGCCGGGCTTTCACCCATGGAGCCCGGCCAGGCACAACCCGAAGAGGAAACGTGGGTCCCCCTTCCCATGGGGTCACCACTCGTGGGAGGGGCCAAAGGGGTCAGGTGCAGTGTGTGACGGGTGGTAGTCGACGGCGGGGACCTTGGCGGTCTGATCCTCGGCTACAGAAGCTGGCTCTTGGCACATGGAATATCACCTCTCTGGTGGGGAAGGAGCCTGAGTTGGTGTGTGAGGTTGAGAGGTTCCGACTAGATATAGTCGAACTCACCTCAAAGCATGGTTCTGGCTCTGGAACCAGTTTCCTTGAGAGGGGTTGGACTTTCTACCACTCTGGAGTTGCTCCCACTGAGAGGCGCTGAGCAGGGGTG